CGGGTTGCAGCGGTTCCTGGAGGCCGACGTCGAGCCAACACCTCCGATGATTGCACTAGCTCCAAGAATCCTGGCGGCTTCCAGCGGCTTCCAGAGTGTGGTCGAAATTTGTTATGAGGGGGTCCCGTGCCTTGAGAAAGAATACGGGCAAGACTCTCTCTCCTTTTTGTTTTCCTCTCTCTCTGTCTCTATTTCTCTCTCTCTCTCTCTCTCTCCCTCTCTCTCTCTCTCTCTTTCTCTCTCTCTCTCTCTCTCTCTCTCTCTCTCTCTCTCTCTCTCTCTCTCCCTCTTTCTCTATGTACATATGTATATAGATGTGTGTATATATATACATGTGTATCCGCCACTGCGCCTCGAGACACGAAGTGGAGTTACCCCCAGGCTCTCATCTGTTCTCTATTCCCTGTACTCAGGACTAGGGAACTATTCTGTTCTAGGGGCTGGGTGGGGCCCCAGATTCTCAAATTTCCTGGGTGTTCCCGCGCGCTCCTGGGCTGCCTCGAATGACTTGTCCAAAAGCCAGGGGGCCCCAAGACGGGTCCAGAACAGCTCAGTAAACGCCCAAGAGACCTCCAAGACAGTCCAAAAGCGCTCCCAAAACGTCCAAGATGGCCCCAAGACGGCCCAAGAGACCCAAACAAAGAAGCTCCAAGACCACCCCAAGGGGACGCCCATGATGGCACAAAGGGGCAAACATCCGTTATGTTCCCTGTAATGTTCGATGTGTTTCGCGTTCTCGCGTTTCCGGACTTCCGACGTTCCTGGATGACCCCAGTGGCCCCCAAGACCGCCCCAAGACTGCCCAAAAGGCCCCTAACAGGGCCCCAAAACAGTCCAAGAGGGCCTCAAAACAGCCCAAGAAGCGCCCAAGATCGCCCAAGAAAACCTCAAGACGGCCCAAAGAGGGGACCAAGAGGGAGAACACGAACCGACATTTCGAGCCTTCCGCCCCAAGAAGCCTCCAGGAGGCCCCAAGGAGGCCCGCAAGGGAGCCCAAGAGGCCCCCTAGAGGCCCCACGAGGCCCCCAAGAGGCCCAAAGAAAGGCCCCCGAGAGGCCTCCCACGATGTTCAAACGAACATCCAAGAAGCATCGAATTACAAACCCAGGCACCATGGCGGGATGGGCCGATGGCCACCATATGTATATATATATAAACAAGACTGCATTGGCGCTGCGCGCCATGCACCTTGGCCCTTTGGATTTCGCACGATAGCGGAGTGCGAGCGCGCGTACATGCGCACACACATGCGTCTATGAACGCATAGTACATATGTACATATATATATATGTATGGAAATGTACATGTATATGCAAATGGTCAGTCTAACTATGTGCGCGCACGCACATGGGCATATCAGGCGGTAGTGGCCTGACCAGTTGCTCGTATCATCGCACCACCAAAAGGCGCGAGGGTCTCAGGCAAACGTGGTAAGAGCACCATGGGACAATGCGTCGCCGAGGTCAGCGTTGCGAGGACGCCACGGGTGAAAACGGCCTGAACACCTCCGCTCAGGGGAGGGCATATCCGAAGTCAGCCGCGCGAGGAAGTTTCAAGCGAGGAGTGGTCTGAACACCTCTGCTCAGGGCATCCTTGAACTTAGAGTTGCGAGAAGTCGCACGCGGAAGTGGCCGAACCACCATGGTGCAAGGCACCTCCGAAGAGAGAGTTGCGAGAGTGTCTCAGGCGACAGTGGCTGGAACACCTCAACTGGGAGCGTCTCGGGCCCCAGAGCTGCGACGATGTCCCAAGCGAAAACGGCGGGATGCGAAGCAAGGCGCTTCTGAGGTCGGAGTTGGGAGCAGATCTCTGGCGAAGTTGATTAGACTACTTTCCGTTATCTCTTCTTCCTCCTTCCCCTTTTCCTCCTCCTCCCCCTCCTCCCCCTCCTCCTCCTCCTGTTCCTCCTCCTCTTCCTCTCCCCCCTCTCCGCTTCTTGGTTTGCCCATTCTCCCCATCCCTGGCGGCGCGGCGCGGCGCCGCTCGGCCTCTCTGCGAGTCAAGCGGAGGAGGGCGAGAAGGAGGAAGAGGAGGAGGACGTTGCAAGTGTTCGCGCGGCCGTGAGCCCCCAGGGAGTGTTTCCCCAGGGTGCACGCTGAAACCGAGGGTTCCCGACGGACTGATCTCCGAAATGTCACAAAAACCATGGCCCCCAACAGCGCGCCCGGATGAGATGGCGTCGTGGCCCCGACGGTTTGCATTGAGCGTTGCTCCGTCGAGGCGGGAGGAGGAACATGAAGAGGATGAGGAGAAGGAGGAGGAGGAAGAGGAGGAGGATGAAGAGGAGGAAAAGGATGAAGAGGACAGATTATGTGGACATCTGGGGTACAGCCGAGGTGTCGCGGAAGAAATCCGCAGCAGAGACTTGGGAGAGTGAGGAGAGCTGCTTCTGCTAGACCTTTGGCGGGGCGGAGCGTGAAACATCACGGGGAATTAGGAGAAGGAGGAGGAGGAGGTAGAGGAGGAAGAGAATGAGGAGGAGGAGGAGGAGCTCTTGGGTCCTCCGGTGGTTTGAACGGAAAATGGCCTCGCTGCGCCATTGGATACGACAACGACGACGACGACGAAGAAGGCGACGACAAAGAGAAGGGATAATGAGAGGGGGAGGCCGCTGTGTTGGGATCTCGTGGTGCGCCTCTCGGGGCCCTCTGGGAGGCAGTTTTGAAGCGTTTTGGGGGTGTTTTGGGGTTCTTGGGATCTTTGTGGGGCCTCTTGGGGGCCTCTTGGGGGCTCCTTGGGGCCTCTTGGGAGCCTCTTGGGGCTCCCTCCGGGATAAATTCGGCCCTGGGCGCTCCCACCGACGTCAAACTCGAATTTCGGTTTCGGGAGCCTCTCCCGGCCATCCCTGGACGGTCCCGCGAAGCGCCAAGACGGCCCAAGACCGTTTCAGAACGGCTCATGAGCGATCAAAGAGGCCTCAAGGTGGCTTCAAGATGGCCCAAGATGCACTCAAGACGCCCCAAGAGGCCCCCCAAGAGGGCAAAATCGTCCTATTCCCTTCGGGAAACGTAAATGTTTAGCACATCCGCATCTTTGGCATTCACTGCGACCAAGACGGCCCAGGAGGCCCCAAAGATCGCCCCAGGACGGCCCAAGAAGTCCTCAAGGGAGCCCCAAGAGAGCCCAAAAAGAGCTCCAAAACGACCCACGAGAGCCCCAAGACGGCCACAAAGAGCACCAAAAGGCTTCCCAGAGAGCGCCAAGAAGGCCCGAGGCACCCCAGAAGAACCAAGAGGGCCCCAATACGGCCCTAGCCCCCCAGGACAGCCCAAGAGGGCCCCAGGATGGCCCAGGAGGGCCGCCATACAGCCCAAAAGAGCCTCAAAAGGAACCCCACGAGAGCCCCGAGAGGCCATACCCCGTTTCAGCCATATGAAGCCTGTCGGCCCCACAAGCCCAACGACCACTATGGTGCCTCATGGTGCCCGATGAGCCCTGTGAGGCCTTGGAATCCTAACACCTCCAGAGCTCTCACCCCCACACGCCTCGAGACCCCGAAAGGCCCCCCCAACTCATAATCCAGATCACTGGTGTGTCGCCATGGACGGTGCGGCGGCATGCACACGTTGGCTTTTCACCATCGGTGGAGCTCTCTGTGGGGTGCGGTCCATGTGAGGGGACATCCGACTGCTCCACCGCTGCATGCAGCACACGGCTGCCAAAAAAAAACATCCATCGCGCCTCTTTGCTCGCGCCGGCGACTTCGTCCAATCAGTCGCGCGAGCCGAGGAAACGAAGCCGTATGAGCCCTATGAGCCCGATGAGCCCTATGAGCCCTATGAGCTTTATGAGCCCTATGAGCCCTATGGGCCCGATGACCCCTACGAGCCCATGAGCCCTATGAGCCTTATGAGCCCTATGAGCCCTATGAGCCATATGAGCTTTATGAGCCCTATGAGCCCTATGGGCCCGATGACCCCTATGAGCCCATGAGCCCTATGAGCCCCATGAGCCCCATGAGCCCTATGAGCCTTATAAGCCATATGAGCCATATGAGCCCTATGAGCCCTATGAGCCTTATGAGCCCTATGAGCCCTATGAGCCCTATGAGCCCTATGAGCCCTATGAGCCCTATGAGCCCCATGAGCCCCATGCTTCCTCAAGCCCTATGCGTCCGATGAGCCCTATGAGCCCTACGAGCCCCATGGGCCCCATGAGCCCTATGAGCCCTATGAGCCCTATGAGCTTTATTAGCCCTATGGGCTCTATGGGGCCTATGAGCCCTATGAGCCCTTCAAGCCCTACGAACCCATGATCCGTATGAGCGTTATGAGCCCTATGAGC